TTATCAAGGGTTTAGTTTTTTGTCTATTTTTTTTTCTAACCTAACAAGATTTCACCAGGAGCCTAAGATATCTGTGATGTGGAAATTTCCTCAACCAAAGTAGATCCAACTGTCTGTAATTTATATTTTAAGAGAGTTGCCTAGAGAACTAAGAAGTAAAGTGACTTGGCCATGGCCACACAACTTGTATCCACTTTTCACGCTGCCTCTACAAGAGATTAGTAGTATATGATTAAAATGACAAATAACACTAAAAATAATAACTCCCAGAGGTAACTAAAACATAGAAGGAACCTTAGAGGTCATCTATTCCAACAACTTTATTTTACAGATGAGGAAATGAGGCTCAGACAAAGTGACTTGCCCAAGATCACACAGGCAGTAACAGACAGAGACAGGACCCAGAATTTGTAGCCTTAGATCCAGAGATTTTTCCAACGTAGCATCAAAGACTGTTTTAGTTGATTTTTTCCACCAAAATTGTAATTTAAGCAGAATTCTTCAGTTTTTATGATTTAATCATGAATGCTAGAATGATTTTTGAAGTGTAATTTTAGCTTTTCTGATTTAATTTAAATTTCATTCTCTGTATTATACATCTTTATCATTAAATAATAACCAAAGACATGAAATATTTATGATGTTTTGCTTTCATCCATAAAGTCACCATGTCATTAGGAAAAAAACAGTGCAGGTCAGTCCACAACAAGGCTTGAGGCTCACAGCTAAAAAATTTTTATCTTTGTCAAACTTGCTTAAACATGAAACTTCTTATAAAATTCAGCTCCTAAAATGATTTCTTCTAAATCCCATTCTTTACATTAAGTATTGAGATGAAGTTTGTAAAAAGAGTGTTCTTAGATATCAAACCTTTGTCTGCTTATGCTCTGACAGGCTAAACAAATTGACTTATTCCTCTCCAGCCTTCAGAATGCAAAAGGCGCTAAAAATAGTAAAACTTCTGGTATAGGAGTATTTTTAGAGAGTATTTTTATAGAAATGGGGAGGAGGGGACAGGGAAGACACAGACTTTGGGTTTGGGTCTGGGATATATCCAATTTAACAAGTACATATTAAAGACCTACCATATAAAAAGGCACTATTCAGGGGGCTGGGCTAAGGAATGATGTGACACTGACAAATATAAGTATTACCTCACCCTTGGCTCTGCAGGATTTAAAAAGCTTGAAGGGAAGATAAGAAATGAATACAAACAACTTTAAGTCAGAATGTGATAAGTGCTGCAATAAAGGTACAAACAATGCACAAGGCTAGGGATGGAAACTGAAGCTGTGATTTCATTGACTGAGGGAAATCCTCAGATCAAAAGTAGGTTAGGTATGGTCTCTGCAATTTATAGTCTTAGAAAGTTGCAAGGGGTATTAAAAGGTTAAGTGACTTGCTCACGGTCACATATGTACTATATGAGAGGCCAGACTTAACCTAGCTCCAAGGCTGGTTCTTCTCCAAAGAAGAGGAGGAAGGAGGAAAGGAGGGAGGAAGGGATAGAGAAGAGGGGAAAGACGGAATAAGCATTTTTTAGTTGTTTTTCAGTAGTGTCTGACTCTATGACCCCATTTTGGGTTTTCTTAGCAAAGTTAATGGAGTGGTTTGCCATTTCCTTCTCTAGCTCATTTTACAGATGAGGAAACTGAGGCAAACGGGATTAAGTGACTTGTCCAGAGTCACAGAGCTAGTAGGTGTGGCTAGTAAGCCACATTTGAACTCAGCAAGATGAGTTTTCCTGACTCCAGGCTCTGCACTTACCTACCTACTGCACCACCTAGAGCATTTATAAATAAATGGCTTATAGATGCTAGGCTAAGCACTAGTCATACAAATAAAAGTAAAAAGAAAGACAGTCCCTGACCTCAAGAAGCTTATAATCTACTTGGCATTTGAGCCAGGCCTTGAAGAATAAAATTTCAACAAGCAAAGAGACTGGGGGGAGGAGAATTCATGATGTGAGAATTCAACGTAGAGATGTGAAAGCATGAGCAAAGGCAGACGTATAATAAGCTAGGAGAAGCAGAGAAAAGCAAGCAGTGGGGAAATGCTGTAAAGCTAGACTTGGAGAAAGAACATGAAGGGCCCCAAAAGCTGAACTCCCAAGTTGATATATATTTAGGGGTGGGGAACCAGCAGAGACCACATGTGGCCCTCTAGGTCCTCAAGTGTGGTCCTTTAACTGAATCCAAACTTCCCAGAACAACTCCCCTTAATAAAAGCATTTATTTATTCTGTAAAACCAAGACTCAGTCAAAAAGCCAAACCCAAGGTTCATAACTGTCTACCTATAACTATCTAACTACAAAAGTTTACCAAGGAGTTACTTGATATTTTTAAGCAGGGGAATAACCAAATGATCCCAACTGTGCTTTAAGACACTAGCTCTAGCAAGTGTGCAGGATGGATTAGAGCAGAGAAAACTGGGCAGACCACTTAGGAGAGTATTGCAATAGTCCAGACAAGGAAGAAATGAGGTGGTAGCAGTAGGAACAGAAAACAAGAGAATGAAATACTGATCCATGTTAGTGGGGTTTAATGGTAATAAACAAATAGTGCCAATGTGAATGAGTACAATGACTCAAGTTTAAGAACTAGAGATTTCTAATATCTCAGAAAAAAAGAGGCTAAGTGACTGACAGATCCCATACCAGGAAAATAATCCATTAAGCAAATTTTTAAAAAAATGTAACAGCCTTTTTTTTCCCTGACTCATACAGAAGTAAGCAACAGACATCATCATAGACATTACTTAATTTGTCTCTAGACGAAGAAGAGCATTTGATCGATTTCCAGGGCTTTTTCTTTTTTTTTTTAAATAATTGAGTACCAAAGAATAACAAGGCATTATTTTCATTTGATAAGCTGCTCTCTCCCGGCAAATAAAAACCAAATATCCAATGGCAAAATTTGATCTCTTGCCTAAAATACTTTTAAGTCCTACTATTTCACTATTAAGAGATAATGGGGGGGGTGACTGGGAGTCAAGATAACTATATATATGCAACCCTAAGCAAGTCACTAAACTGATTTAACCTGAATTAACTCATCCATAAAATAGGTATAATTGTAGTAGTGCTTGTCCTACCCTGTCTTACAGGACTGTCATGAGCAAATGCTTTGTAAGGCAGAAAACCTGAAATCAGTACATAAAAATGTTCAGTTATTATTCACATCCAGTCTTTGGTCAAAATAATAACAAAGTCTATATCACTCTCTTTTAGTATGGCCTTCTTGTCAATAATTACTTCACAGTTTTAGGAATTCATCTATGTCATCACCATTCCCTCCTCTGATGCCTCAGTCTCTCCACTGCCAACGTGGATGCTGTTCATGAATTGCTGTGGCAAAAAAAACCCAAACCACTATCTGGTGCTGAGCCTGTCTGAAGTAGGCTGGTCCTGGAACAACCAACAGACTCTGAGTCCTCTGCCAAGCCCATATGCAAAGCATTTCCAACATGGTAGACCATAACAGGACACAGGCATAGCCTTCAAGGATCTGAGGTTACTTCCACCCACCAGGAGGCACAAGGTTTAGATTCAGTAAGGTTTATCCAAATTTAAATCCCAAGAAACTTGTAAAAACTTTGGCAACCAATAATTTTTAGAAAAGAGGCAGCTTGGCTCAGCAGCTTAGGGGGGAAGGGCTCCAAGACACTGGTTCATTTGTCACCGACTTGTGTGACCCTGGGTAAATCATTTAACCTCTCAGTAACACAGACTAAAAGTTTCAGAGAAACTGCCAATATCTATCTATCTATCTATCTATCTATCTATCTATCTATCTATCTATCTATAGATATAGATATATACACACACACACTGGTAAATGGAATCTCCTCACTGGGAGCACTGGCATTCACCAATGAAATCACAAGCGTAGTAAAAGAATTTTTTTCAAATAAAAGGGATTTATAGTATTCTTATTTCTCATTTTTTTAAAGGAGAAAAACTAAACCATGTTTTAAAACACTATAAATTTAGGGAGAAAATGCAAGAATGAAGGATGTGTAGAACAAAATCAAAATCCTTGAAATTCCTGAACATACCAATAGAAAAAATATATTCTAAACGCTGATGATACTTTCATTAAAGTTCAGTAACATGAAATTGCAAAAATCCCCCAAATTAAGAATTTCTACTTTTTTCGCTATTCATTAGTATCCCACTGAAACACACTAGATTCAGAAATCAGCTGTCCCTTTCTTCTTCTCTCCAAAGGACACAAAACCCTTCAGTAGCAATGATAAAAGTCTGCTAATAAATAAGAACTATCTGCCAAGGTGCTTGTTGAGATATCTCTCCCTTCTTTCAATAATTCTCCACTCGGGATGGCAGGCTCCTCCTCTCCAACCCGACCAGCCAGAAATATCCCCTTTCCCCCCATATTCACCCTGATGACTTTACTGCGTATATATAAAAGTGACAGCTTCGAGCGGTAATGGCCAAAGCTCCCGGAATTCTTCCGGCCTTAAAGCATTAGGCCGCTGGAGTTTGCTAAAAGCTTTCCAAAAATGAACCCAAGATCAATTGAGTGTATTTGTTCTTCCTTCCGGAGAGGTCCCTAAGGACTCTATACTTACCTCACCCCACCCCACCCACCATGCACTTCCCACTTTTAGGTCCGGCATGATTCTTGACCAAGACACAATCAAAAAAAAAAAAAAAGGAAGTATCTTTAAAAGTCGTTTGGAAAAAAATTTTTTTAAAGCTATAATCAATCGATTGGCTTTATCTTACCAGATATCCCTCCAAGAACGTTGGAAAGTTGCTAGTGTGTGCACCCACACCCAATCTGAAAACTCTCGTGTCATCAAAAAATAAATCCTATCATTTCTTGAACTTAAAAGTCATCGACTACCATCCAAAGTGGATCGATCTTAAAAGAGAAGAAGGCTCGGGCCAAGCAAGCCCCCTACCCCAGTGGCAGCGCAAGGAAGCAGAGGTGGCCTGGTAGGGGAGGACGAGAAGGGTCGAGCGCCCCTCCCTTACCTGGCTTGACTGGCTTAGGTGGCGGCTTCGACATCTCTGCTGCTGCTGGGGCGGCTAATCCGAAAGCCCGGGGGAGGGAGTAGACAAAGTACAGCGCTCCGTGCTCTGCAAAGTTTTAGTCTGCTTCCTCGGCCACTCTCTTCTTCCGTCCCTCCGAGATTGGCCGAGCCCACTTCTCGAAAGAGAAAAAGACTTGAAGGATGGTTTCCTCCAAGTTGTTCTCAGAGTCGCGAACGCACGATAAGGGAGAGCTTGGTCAATGAGGAAGTGAACGCTACATCAGCAAAAGCTAATTGGTTCGCGGGCCCCGAGCCCTCCAGCTGCAGCAGCAGCAAATGCATACAGCAGAGATGCGGAAGCGGCGCCGGCCCGGGAGAGAGCGCGCGAGCGAACGAGAGCGCGGGCACAGGCGGCGCGCGCCCGGCCGCTAAGCAGGCGCCCCGCGCGCAGCACCAAAGCGCGGAACCCGATCTGGGACCAGGGTGCGGGCGCGCGCCTCGCTGCCTGCTGAGGCCCCGCCCCCAGGCTGGAGCAGGGGCGGAGGGTAACCTGAACGGGCCGGACTGCGGTCTGCCAGTGGCCTGTGCACAGCGGCGGCCCCCGGAAGGTGCCAGTGCCCCCAGATTTTCCGCGTGCTGGTTGCGAGGATCTGAGCTGATCGCACTGACTGACGGCTTGCACTGAATGCTGCTCGTGCCCTCTGGATTACCAGGGGCGAAGTGGTGCCTGCCTGGGACTTCGGAACGCTACGGCGCCCAGGTGAGTACCCGATCAGTGCGGTGCTGCCACCGCGGCGCCCGCTCGGCGTCTTCTCCCGAGTGCTCGATGTGCAAGAGGCTTGGCAAGTGCGCTGCATCCATTTAGGAGTGCCTCGGTAAAGGGTGGCATGTAGGACCTTTCTTCGGGAGGGTCCGATAATGGCGCACTTTTAGAGGCGGATGTTGTTGCCACCGTGAGTATTCCACTGGGAGAGCTGATTCCTGGCGTGGGGAATAGAGGACCGGTCGTAGAGGCAGGAGGACCTGGATTCGAGTCCTATCTTTGACACATCGTGGGCAAGTCACTTAACCTCTTAGTGACCAAGCAACTCTCTTAAGTTCAAATTACCAACGAGTAGCCCTTCTTCATTGGTGGAGGGAGTTTCCACACCGTATGGTTACTTCCAAAAGGAATGAAATCACGGTTTCCCAATTCTGTCACCACCACTTCTCTGTAAAATAAGTAAATAATTACCTAGCCCTCTGACGTGTGTGTGGAGGGGGGGAGGAGTGGGGGTGGAGAATTCGTAATAATATAAGTTATCTAGGAATTGGGCTTCTTCTGTTGCTAATAAGCTTCTCATCACTGGAAGTCTTCCAGCAACTGGTTATATGTGTTGTGGAGAGGGTTACTTTTCAACTATGTGTTGGACTAGGTTGCTTCCGTGACTTTAAAGGTCATAGGCTTGTATTAGAGCTGAAAGGTATCTTAGAGGCCATCTAGTCCAGCCTTTTGATTTTGTACATGAGGAAACTGATTTGCCCAAGATCACTTAAGTAGTAAGCTTCAGAGGTACAATTTCCCCCAAATCCTCTGACTCCAGAGTCAGTGTCCTTTCCTTTACATTCCTGTTACCTCCAGAAAGGTAGCAATATCAGTAACTACTAACCCATATACCTTCTTTCTACAAAATTTTCATGAATATAATCTTCAAATGAACTGGGAACATCCTTGTTAAAGATATGAGGATTTCTACAAATTCTACAGCAAACTGCATCTTTATAGTCACACTTGACTGAATGGTATGGAGAATAAAAGATCCCAATATGCTTGTTATTTAATGTTTTGGTGGGGGGGAGCAAAATTCCCTGTTAAAAACTCTGCTCCAGTGAAGTGCCTCTATACATAAATAAAATTTGTACAAAATTCCTTGAAACATCTAACAGAGGCATTAATATCAGATTAATATCAAGCAAGTCAGAAACCAGGCAGGCATTCTCACCCAAGGCATTTGCCGGTATCATGAAGTACAGCATCCAAATGGAAGGAACCATTCCCTACAGATGATGAAGTCTTCTAAAAATCACCCATTTGCAGGTGACATTCTGCTGAGTACATCAAGCCTTGCAACATTTTACAGACTTCCTCTTCCACCCCCAACAAGGTCCATAATCACTCTGAAGCTTGCCTGTAACTATCCACACAGTTAAAAAAAAAAAGACACAAATGAATGAAGCACACCTGTTATTCAGAAGAAGCCATCTAGTTGGATGGATGGTCCATATTGCTGATCCATCATTACATTGTGGTTGTTTGTTTTTGGTTCTTGAAGAACACCATGACATCAGAAAAATGCCATGACTGGCAAGTGAATTGGATTTAAGTGAGGGAGGGCTGTGCAAAGTCACCAGCCTCACTTTCTCCTCCAGAGCCATCTGGGTCCAGTGGCAAGATACGGATCAGGATAACTGAGGATGCTCCCCCTGCCACCCATCATTACATACATCTTGGACAGACACTCCGATTTGTTAATGAGCCAGACTTAAAACTGAATAGAAGGAAGAAAATGAGGTAGATTGCCTTTGGAAAAATTGTGTAGTGCTTTTAATGACCTGAAGCTTCTCTTAGAAAAAAAAGGCCCATCATTTTATTCCAATATTCTTTTTTCTTTGAGAAATAGTCATCCAATATTAATATTTATACAATTGTACTTTGCTTGAATTGAAGATGTATTAAAGATGTCACATATATTTTTGTTTTTTAATATAGAAGAGCTGAGCAGGTATTTTCCATGCCTTTGGAAGACAAAACAAGTGGAAATTGGCTTAAATGAAAGTGACAAAGATTGTGATTAGACATAGGGAAGAAACAAATTGACTATTACAGTAATAAAACCCTGGAATAACTCCTGAAGAGATTGAGCTATCTTGGATCTACTAAAGGATGAAGCATGAAAAGGCATTTTTTTTAGTGCCATCTATTTGCAAGGTATTGTGCTAGGTGATGTGAGAAATATAATGAGTATGAGATACCCACCACAACTTATTTTCTAAACCTTTTCAAACCTCCCGAGGTTTCATCATCCCCCACCCTTTCAGCTGAGAACCTTCACTCATCTTTCACTGAAAAAATTTAAAAAAAATTTGTAGAAAGTTTGCTCTTTTCTTCTCTTCCTCATCCCACATCACCCAGATGCTTTCTGCCACTATCTCCTCCTTCACTCTTCACATGAAGAAGTGTCCTTTCCCCTTGGCAAGGCTAATTCTAGGTGTGCAAGTGATCCCATTCCATCCCACCTCCTGCAGCAGATTGCTCCCTCTGCTATACTGTCTCATTTGTCTTCATTCTCTCCCTGTTCACTGGCTGCCTATAAACATGCTTATATTACCCCATCATCAAAAAACTGTCACTAGATCCATCCATCTTCACTATCATCCCTCATCTCTCCTCCTTTTTTTAACATTTCAATTTGTTATTTATTTTTAACATTTTAAAAAAATTTTTGAGTTCCAAATTTTCTTCCTTCCTTCCACCCCCTCCCACATCATCCCATATCCACTGAGAGGTTAAGTAATATAATATCAATTATATATGTGAAATCATGCAAAACATATTTCCATATTAGCCATTTTTTTTTAAAGCAAGAAAAGTAAGGGGGGAAAGTTATACTTCAATTTGCACTCAGACTTCATCAGTTCTCTCTTTAGAGGTAGATGGCATTTTTTTCATCATAAGTCCTTTGGAACTATGATCATTGTGTTGGTCAGAGTAGCCAGGTCTTTCTTAGCTAACCATCATTACAACATTGCTGTTATTGTGCACCATGATCTCCCAGTTCTTCTCGCTTCACTTTGCATCTGTTCATATAGGTCTTCCATCTTTCAGAAATCACTCTCCTCATCATTTCTTTCTTTTTTTTTTTAGGCAATTAAGGTTAAATGACTTGTCCAGGGTCACACAGCTAGTAAGTGCCAAGTGTTTGGTCCAAGGCCAGACTTGAACTCAGGTCCTCCTGACTTCAGGGCCGGTGCTGTATCCACTTTGCCACCTAGCTGTCCTCTCATCATTTCTTATAACAACTATATTCCTTCACAATCATGCCATGACTTTTTCACCCATTCCCCTTCATTTCCAGTTCTTTGTCACCACCAAAGGAGCTGCCATAAATATTATTGTACATACAGGTCCTTTTCCTTTTTCTTTCATCTCTTTGGGATACAGACCTAGTAGTGATATTACTGGGTCAAAGAATATGGACAATTTTATAGCCATTTGAATATAGTTCCAAATCGTTCTCCAGAACTGTTGGATCAATTCACTATTCCACCAGCACTTCAGTAGTGTACCTATTTTTTCCTCATCCCTTCCAACATTTGTAATTTCTGATAGGTGTGAGGTGATACTCCAATATTCTTCTGATGGTACAGTGTCACTACAAGTTAGGGAATACCACATATAGTCTCTGAGGAATTCAAATTGCAGGTCACCCAAAAGGCAATGAGGAGGCCCATATTGAGTGTGAGTAGATTTCAAGGTACCTCCATTGCAGCCATCAGAGATATGTGTGACTGAAACAGAAGGCAGGTGTGGTGAGAGCAGTGATGACAACAACTCATGCACCATTTGTTGGTATCTGTGCAGCATCAGGAGTTCAAGAAGGAGGCCTTCAATATGTCTCCCCATGGAGAATTCATGGGAGGGCATGGACAAGAGTCATTAAGGATGAGAAGCTGTGGTTGGATTAGGATCTACTTGAATGAAGGGAGCACCTACAGCAAAAAGATAGATCACTGATCCATTGAGATATTGAAGCAAGTCTTATAACTTTGTTAAAAAGAAATAAAGTAAGGTTATTTTGACATATTTTGATAATCAACAACATTTATTTAGTGCTTATTATATTATATGCCCAGCATTGTGCTAAGCACTAGGGACACAAAGAAATACAAAAGCTATCCCTGCCCTCAAGAAGGCAAAATTCTCCATGTAAAAATAACTGCTTACATATCAAGTTGAAGGAAGGTAATCTCAGAGGAGAAGGCACATGGAACTCTGGAAGAAACCTCAGGCATAAGATGGGGTTTGAGCTAGGTCTTGAAGGAAGCCAGGAAAACTAAGAAGTAGAGGTGAGGAAAGAGAGCATTCCAAACATGGGAGCAGCACGTGCAGAGGCACTGCTGGGAGACAGAGTGTCAGGTGAGAGGAACAGTGGTTAGGCTAATGTAGCTTAATAACATAACATAAAATAATGTAACAGCTAGGTGACACAGTGGATAGAGTGCTGGGCCTGGAGTCAGGAAGATTCATCTTTCTGAGTTCAGATCTGGCCTCAGACACTTACTAGCTGTGTGATCCTGGGCAAGTCACTTAACCCTATTTGCCTGTTTCCTCATCTGTAAAATGAACCGGAGAAGGAAATGGCAAAACACTCCAGTATCTTTGCCAAGAAAACTCCAAATGGGGTCACGAAGGGTCAAATATGACTGAACAACGGCTGGATATAAAATCTGTGGAGGAGAGAAGAGTATAAGAAGCTTGGAAAGAGAGTGAATGCATACTGGCTTGAAGCCATCACCACTTCCATATCCTAATAGTGTGTGAAGCTGAATCCTCAAAGAGGATTTAAATGCCTTCATAACTTAGCCGCATCCAGCCCCATTACACATGACCCCTCTCCATGCACTCCGAGGTTCAGCCGTACTGAATTTCCTGCTGCATTTCACAGACAACAGTACATCTCTCATTTCTGTTTCTTGGCAATGGTTGTCCTCAGTCCCCAGAAGATTCTCCATCCCCGCCTCCACCTTTTGGAATCCCAAATTTATTCTAGGATTCAGCTCAGGCACCACCTTGTTCAGGATGTCTTTGCTGGTCATGCTAGTGACTAAAGTTACCTGTTTTGTGTGTACATATATGTGTACATGTGTGTGTATACACATACAATATAGAGAAATTAAGCAACTTGACCAAGATCACATAGCTAGGAAATGATGACAACACCAAAATTCAAATCGTGGCCCTTTCACTCCAAATCCAAGGTTCTTTCTACTATACAACAGCTGCCTCCTGGGTTCACAAATTGTACATTTAATATTTTTTCTAAAATTTTGCTGGGACTCAGCACTAAGGACATTGGCTTGTAGTATCCTGTCTGTGGTTGGTAGTTAATTCTTTGCTTGTTGTCTCAGTGAACTCCTTGAGAGCAGGGACTATCTTTTACCCTTCTTTGTATTTCCACTGCTTAGCAAAATGCCTGGTGCATAGTAGGTGCTTGATTGATGTTTACTGACTGACTGACTGAGTTCAGAGACTCCACCATTTTCCCCTTTCTTAGAAGTGGGACAGCAGTTTCCTTTTTCTGATACTGTAATACCAGTTTGTAATGATGTGATTGTAGACAGTGATATACAGATAAGGGAGATATTTGGACAGCAAAAAACCATCCCTGCTCCTCTCAAATCAGAGCACATTGTTTACCCATGAGGTATGAGTTTGGCCAGTACATATATACTGAATATACAAGAAAAATACAAATAATAAAAATCAGTCCAAGAATATATTGGCAATCAATCACTAGATTGTGTTTTCTGTGACTCCTCCAAGCTCACCATCAGTTCTTCTACTTCTCAGCTGTATAGAAGGGATTTCAATACCCAAAGATGCTATAAGTTTAGTACAGCTAACTTTGAACTCATTTGGGGCAGTTAGATGCCATCAGGACATAGTAAAAGAATAGCTCACTTAACTTTTTTTTTCTTGCTCTCTCAAAAGGATCTCTCTTTTTTCCTGATTCTCCCTGGCTTTTAATACTAAGCAATGCGTTAGAAGAGTGTTTGGGGATATCCGTACTTAGAACTCCATCTTCATCAAAAGTATTTAAGAATCTGATAACACACCAATTACCCAGATCAAATCTCAGCTTCCCAGGAAGACAGTGAATGGTTTACTTCCCCTGAGGTTGTTTTTGACATCCCAGTGTGTTTCTGGCTATCTTTAAGGAGTGTTAAAAAAAAAATTCTCAGAACTAAATTTAATTCACTTTAGAGTCTTGTCTAGGTATTTATGAATGTATCCATGGACACTTATGCTTATTTGTTTTTGTATATACATGAATAAATTCATAAACACATAATTATGCATAATAGGCACATGCAATAGAACAACTCTTTGAGGAGTCCCTGAAATCAAACAAATGAAAATAGGATTTAAGACTCATAACTTCAGAAAGGCGGGCATAAAGATTTCTGAATGTTTTGAAACACACACAAAAAAACTAGCTTCTTAATATTCTATTGGATTTCATATCTCTAATTGAAACTCTGTTTCCAGACTGACAATCTAAGAAACTTTCACAACAAGCCTTAGGCGAAAATTGTAATATGGGTGAAATTTGTCTTTAGCCTCTTTCCTGATCCTCTGTCCTTTTTATATTCTTTGGGGGCTTCTCCCTGCCCCTCCTGTCAAAGCATCTGGAAAATGAATTATACCACTAAAATGTTAGTGGACTCACCATCATTCCTTCAAAGGAAATCTGAACTTAAAAAAAAAACTCTAGAAAGGTGGTAATGTTTAACCTAAAGAAATGTCTGAAATGGTGTGAATACAGACTGTGGTATACAGTAAGAGAGCTATTTTGGCAGCAGAGGACCATCCCTGCTGCCCTCAAATCAGAGCACACTATATATCCCTGAGGTATGGGTTTGGCCAGTACTATACTTATATGCAGAATACAGAAGTAAATTCGAATAATAAAAATTTTATGTATGTATACATACTTGCAGTTACTAGCTAATTGACTCCGATTCAATAAACATCTATTAAATACCTCCTTACATGCAAAACACAGTGCTAGTTACCAGGGATACAACAATAGAACACAAAGTATCCCCTGTCCCCAAGGGATACAACCCAGATGAGTAAAAACAAAATAACTTGAAAAGTAAGAAGGCACTTCCTCGAAGGGGGTATAAGAAAAGGCTTTCCGTTGGAGATGGCATCTAAATTATCTAAATGAAGCTAAGGATTTGAAGAGGTAGAGGTGAGGAGGGAACATTTTCCAGGCGTGGGGGACAGCTTATGCAAAGACATGAAGTCTGTAGATGGAGCTCATAGTTTGGGGTACCTAAAATGGGACAGTGTAACTAAAACAGAACTCATCTTTCCCTCAAAACCCTTCTGAATTTCCCTCTAGCTCACAACGTCTGCAATCTTTGGCTTCTCTTTCCCACGTGCTCCATATATCTGATCTGTTGCTAAGCCTTGTCATTTCTACTGTGATAGTATCTCTCATATATGTTCCCCTCTGTCCTCTCACACAGATAACAACAACTGGTTCTCCTTAATGCGTGCCTGGAGTATTGTATTAGCCTTCTGGTTGGTCTCTCTGCCTCCAGTCTTTCCCACTCTAATTCATCCTCTACTCAGCTGCCAAAGTCATTTTTCTTTTTCTTTTTTTTTCTTTTTTCTTTTTTTTTAGGCAATTGAGGTTAAGTGACTTGCTCAAGGTCACACAGCTGGTACATGTCAAGTGTTTGTTCTGAGGCCGGATTTGAACTCAGGTCCTCCTGACTTCAGGGCCGGTGCTCATATCCACTGCACCACCTAGCTGCCCCCAAAGTGATTTTTCTAAAGCACAGATGTGATCCCTGCCAACCTCCCCCTGCCTACCTCCATTTAATAAGCCTCAGTGGCACCCTTTTAGTAATACTCCAGGATCAAGTATAAAATCATTTGGCACTTAAAACCCTTCACAATCTCTCCCCTTCCTACCTTTCTCATCCTCTTTATTCTCTGTGTCTTGGAATTCTCTATCTCACCTCCGATTCCTGACTTCCTTTAAGATGGAGCTCAAATCCCACTTTCCACGTAGGGTCTTTCCCACCCTTATCCCTCCCTTCCCCTGCTAGTGCCTTCCCTCTGAGATTACCTTAGATCTGTTCTGTATATATCTCGTACATAAAAGTTATTTGCATGTTTTCTCTCCATTTAGAATATGAGCTGCTTTAAGATGGGAACCTTGTGTCTGTTGTACTTTGTCTACTCAGCTTTTAGCACTACACCCGGCATACTCCAGTAAGCGCTTAGTACATGCTTGCTTAGTGAATGACAGTCACAGCCACATCAGGGGAGGAACCAGGCTATAGAGAAAGAAGGTGTAAGCTCAGAACATTGTTCTGCCTGGTACAGTAGTCACTTGATTGAATAAATTGTCCAGGTTAGACATGAGCTGGTTTACTGAAAGAACCAAACTCCAGATGAACATGATGGCACACCCCTATAATCCCTTGCTACCGACAAGTCTGAGGCTGATGGATCACTTGATCTTGGGATATGTGAGCAGTAGTGGGCTAAGCTAATCAGGTGTCTGCAATAAGTTCCACATTAATATGGTAAGCTCGGGGAACTGGGGTTGCCCAGGGAAGGGCAAACTGGCCCAGGTAGAAAACAGAGCCAGCAGTAGCTTCCCTACTGATCAGTATTGGGATCCAGCCTATGACTGGTAACCGTGCTTCCAGCCTCCAGATTAGGAGACCCAGCCTTAAAAAACAAAAGCGTGTTTGTGATAACCCTCAACTATCTCTGATAAGAGTAGAAACTGGCATGAATAATTTTTTTAAAAATCATTTGTTCTGAGCCCTGAATACATCATGTGAATTTTTAAAATTAATTAGTGAATATCAGAAATGAATTCACGAATTGATCAGTTTGAATTACCTTAGCCTTACACTAGTTGTTAGCACATAGCATTAGAGCATATCAGAGAGAAGACAACCTATTGTTAAATATCAGCTATGAATGGTCAATAGGTTTGAAAATCCTTACATGAGTAACAGAGATAATTATATTTTTTCTTGTTAGCTCATTTTGTCTTGTGATTGTTTTATTTCTAAAAAATTCTCCTTTAATGATGTATTTTTTTTTATTTTAGAAAGTGGAAGTAATTTGAAAGCACGTTATGAAAACATTTGTTGTTGGAATTAGTGGGTAAGTAGCAATCAGATTGTTTTCCTCTGAACAGCTAGCTGAGAGAATAGTTTTCACAGGTGGTGTGGAGGTGGGGAAAGAGGGGTGATTTTCAAGGATTGGGGCACAGTCCAAGGCGGATGGGTCTGAGTAGAACGCACAAAATTGTGGAGCTCCTAGAAAGCATGGGGCAAGAGAAGTTCATTCTCTCAGTTCGTGGTAATTTCCATATCCTTCTCCCTAGCTTTAGGGACCGTCTCAGGGATTTAGTGGAGAGAATTTGTCTCTGTCCAGTTTTAGATAACCAATGACTCTGGAAACAATCTCAGTTCCTCCTTATGTATGCCTTAATGCACAGGAGACAGGTGTGCAGATCAGATACCTGGAACATCTCTGGGCTATATGAACAAAGATTGTATTTCTTTTTCCACCATTACCCTTTTTCTGTTTCCCCAATATATATTCAAATTTTGTTACTCAATTGCTAAATGAAAGGCTGAACCACTGTGATGTTTCTTTAAGAGAAGTTTTTGTTTATATTATTACAGCATACAATCAATGGGAAGTGGTTTTAACCTCTGAAACATCTTGAACTCTTCTTTTTCTCTACACATCCAATTAATGGTCAAGTCTGGACTAATCTACCATTGCGATGTCTTTCATACCTGTTCTTTCTATTCTATTCTCACCTTTCTAGCTCAGGTGTTTTGTTACCTCCAAACTGGACTGTTGTAGTAGTCTTTTACCTGGTCTCCATGATTCCAGTCCTTATCCCCTTTAGTTTCCTATGGAGGTAACTGCAGATTAATGTTTCTAACATATTATTCTAATTATATTATCTTCTCTTCCAAAACATCCAATGACTCTCATTTTCTACTTCTCGGTCTGACTTCCATGATCTGGCCCTAACCTTAGCTTTCTGCCTTTTTCTCCCACTATCCATTTATAGTGGGTACTCTATGTTGCACTCTCATCTTTTCATGACTCTTCACCTTTGTTGCTGTCATCCTCTTTATCATGAGTGCCCACCCTCATCACTTAACTGTTAAAATACTAATCTTCCCTTGAATCATGGGCTTAAAAGCCCCCACTCCTATTCAGTTCATCTACAGAATTCAACAAATATTTGTTAAGTAGCTACCATGTGAGAAGGGGAGATGAAAAGACAAAAATGAAACATTTTCAGTGCCCTCAATGAGCTTACATATTATTCTATACACAGATACATGTGATACAAGGTAATTTGAGGAAGAGAACACTAGGAACCAGGGAGATAAGGGAAGATTTTGCATAGGGAACATAGGAATTGGGACCTGAGTTGAACCTTGAGGGAAAACAAAGTTTCTAGGAGACAGAGCGAGGGAGCAAATGCATTCTAGCCCATAAGAAAACACAGACACAAGATGAAATGTTGTATTTGGGGAAAATTGAGCACAGTTTGGACCGAACAAAAGGTACACAAAGAGAATTATGAAATAAGGCTAGAATATTGGTTGGACCCTGACTATGGAGAGCTTTAAATGTCATGGTCAGGAGTTTGCATTTTATCCTAGAGGAAATAGGGAACCATCAAAAGGTTTTAAGGATGGCACTTACATGGTCAGACCCATACATTTTGGATTGTATCCAATATCATCTGTTTTGTGAAGGATGAATTGGAGTAGGGGGAGGCTGGTGGAAGGGAGGATAGTAATATGGCTATTTTAACAGTCCAGGCTGTAAGCTCCTTGAGGGCCTCTTTTTTATGTCTCCAGCACTTAGCACAACACCTGGCCCAAAATGGAGCTTAATAAATGGGTATTGATTGATTATAGGGATGGTGTCCTCAACTCAATTGGTAGTCAAATGAGTGGCTAGGAAGGGATGCCTATGAAAGTTGAAGAAATGGAGAAGGGGAGTACACGATAGTATAATGTAGAAGTATAGAGTATAGATAGACTTTCTCTAAAAGTTTATCAATAAAAATGAAATAGATGCAGGATGATAGCTTGGGGGAGTTGCAGGTTCAGTAAAGTCTGTTTCCTTTTAAGAATGGAAGAGATCTGTGTTTGTTTATAAGTACCTGGGAAGGAGTCAATGGATTAGGAAGATAAGAGAGAGACGGAGGCAGAGAGACAAGGAGAAAACAACAGAGAGAAAGAGAATCTTGGAATGATTGATGAAGGGAAGTTCCTGGAAGAGAGAGGAAGGTATCAAAGGGCATCAAAGGACACTGACAGAATGGTAAATTTTGGCAAGAAGAAGGGCCACCTCTTCCTCAGACAGGAGCAGAGAAGGAGGAAACAGTTCTGAAGACTAGAAAGAGAAATGAGGAGCTCATGGTGGATGACTAGTTTATTCAGCAAAGTAGGAGGCAAGTTGAGAGAGCATAAGAATTGTGTTAGGGTTAGAGGGGAGAAGAGAAGATATTGAAAAGCTGCTATGAAAAATGGGGTAGAGAGTTAATCTGGGGAGAAAAAAGGATCGTGTAGTGCACCCAGGAGAGTCCAATTGAGATTGGATAATATGAATTTATGTGGACACAATTCATACAGTTGCATGATTTCCTTCAACATTTTACAGCAGTTCAGGTCGGGGTGATCCATGGTTAAAAATTTGCAGAGTGTAAACAATGGAAGCATAAGAAGAAAGGAACTTAAAAGTGAGACCCAAAGCAGGGATGATGGATTGGGGAAACATCTATGGAAAGAACAACTGGCAGCCTCAGACACTTACTAGCTGTGTGACTCTAGGCAAGTCACTTAACCCCAATTACCCTAAAAAAAAAAAGGAAAGAACAACTGGAATTCAAAGTGAAGATAAATACTTGGTTTAGGAGTAAGGCAGAGGGGAAAAAATTGAAGGACAGTAGGCTATGAATATTGAGGGTCTTGGTAAGGTCTGTTACATGACTTCTCTAGTTGGTAGCTAGGGAAGAGTAGAGATGGAGGTTATGGGAGTTGAAGAAGTTGATGAATTGGGAGGTTAGAGCATTCAAGGTGATGTCAAGTTGAATATTTATGTTCTAAGTATGAGATGAGGAGTTGAGGTGAAGGGGAAGACTGAATTCTGGAGCAAGAAGCTAGAATGACCCAGGGACCAGTATTTGATAACAACTAAGAGATGAAGATGGAATAAACTTCAAAGAAGAAGAGACTGTTAAGTGATGGTGGCAGAGAAAGGATGCTTTGGTGAGCAAGGAGTATTCCAATATCTATGTTTTGGGGGAGGTTTTGGGGGCGGGGTTTGTTTTTTGGTTTTAGGCAGTTGGGTTTAGGTGATTTGCCCAGGGTCACACAGCTAGTAAGTGTCAAGTGTTTGGTCTGAGACCGGATTTGAACTCAGGTCCTCCTGACTTCAGGGCCGGTGCTCTATCCACTGTGCCACCTACCTGCCCCCCAATACCTGTTTTTGTGTACCAGTGTTCCAGGGGAAATGAGAGGAGCAGCCAAGACTGAAGAGTGCCCAGGGATGAGTTATCACCCTAAGAAACTCTGGTTTCCATGAGCACAAGAAGAGGATGAATGTGAGAAGAGATAGAGTATGTAGAAAAGTTTAATGATGGAGTGGAAATAATAAAGAGTAAGTGAAAGGCAAAGGAGGATGGATAGGAATAAGGCTAGATGGGATAGGGATGAGGGTAGCAAGGAAAAAGGTTTTCACCTTGGCAGAAATCAACTCTGAAATTAGGGATTAGGGGAACTGTTTGCTAGCCAGAGGACAGGGAGAATGCTAGCTGGTCAATTATTCAGGTAATGGGATCACAAGCTCAGAGATAATGGCAGTAAGGAAGGTCATGTTTCAGAAGAGGCCCCTGGTCCTTGGCAACAATCAGTCAAGTCAAAAAGCATTTTTTAAAAGCCCTTAATGCACCAGGTACTATGCTGAGTTCTAGAGATACAAAGAAGGGCAAAAACAGTGCCTGACCTCAAGGAATTCAAATTCTAATGGAGAGGCAACATGTAAATATGTACACGATCGATACAGAGTGAACAGGAAGTAAGCTTATTGAGGAAGGCACTAAAGCTGGAGGACCCAGGAAAGGCTTCCTGCAAGGAGCGATGTTTGAGCTGAGTCATGAAGGAAGCCGACTATTCTAAGAGTCAGGCTGAGGAAGCAGAGCAGTCTTCATTCCATTGTCCCTCTCTGTGACAGTCCTTGTGAAGGGGACTGGGGCACTGAGTTCAAGCACAATGGTAGTAGCCCCTCCTTAACAGCAGTGAATCTTGCCTAAGGTCACACAGCCGGTAAGTGTCTGAGGTCAGATTTGAACTCAGGTGTTCTTGACTTCAGGCCCAGTGCTCTAACCACTGCACCGCCTAGCTGCCTTGGGCTTAAGTAGGGCCACACTAGAGGTATTATGAGCTTGCAACCTGTCACAGGTTAGGTCCCTCAGAGGCTATGTTAATGTTAACTGACAGGGCAACACTATCTGATACTACATGTACCATGTTGCATAAATTTTCCAGGTTTTTGGTAGCCACTGCATGAATGAGCCAGCATAGGCTACAGACAGACAAGCATACTACAGTATATTCATCCACTCAAAAGTGTGACACAGTCCATCAGTAGGTGAGGGACATGTGTGTCTCACAATTCCACAGATGACTTAGAGACTGTCCCTCCTGAGCTATACGACCCAGAGTTTGGATAGGGTCAGTTAGGTGTTAGGTCTTTAGTCAGGCTTACAAAGAAGTTTGGGTAAGATAAGGGTTAGGGCACATAGAGAGGAAAAGGTACATTTTTAGCAAAAGAAAAAGGATGCGAATTTAGGGTTAGGGTTAAAAGGGTCTGTGACAAAGGTCTTCATCATGGCTATTTACACCAGTCCAAAGAGCACAGTGTCTTCTTCTTTAGTCAAGTGGTTAATCAATATTGGTTAAGTCCTTTGTGCCTCATTAGAATAAAAAGAGGGTGAGCTCCATGAGTTTTCTTAAAGTGATAGGGGATAGTATGCTCTGTGTGTGTGTGTGTGTGTGTGTGTGTGTGTGTGTGTGTGTGTGTGTAAAACCTTACTACCCCGTATCATTTTAAGAAAACTCATAGACTCACCTTCTTTATGTAGATATATAGATATAAGTAAAATTTGTGTTTAATTGTTGCCTTCTCTAGGGCCAGGTTGGGGAGGGGGAAGTACAGAGCAGAAACAAAAGAAAATTTAGAAGGAAGCACAGAAAAGCAGGATAGCTTTGAAAACAATATGTAGTATTTATTACATAGTTTTTGTTTGTTTTTTTGAAGCAAACAGTTTGAAATGGAAATTCATGGTTATATATTGAATCCTTTCTATGTTGTGCTGTACACATGGAAATGTTCTTTTTTGTCTTTTTGAATTTAAGTTTTGAAAAAAATTGAATGAATAAATTGGAACAAATTAATAAAATATTTAAATTAATAAAAAATTTAAAAATAAATAATAAAGTGATATAGGAGAGAGATACTGAAGGGGTATGTGAGGTGTTCAGGGAGGACTAACAGGGAGCCCTCTGGTGTGAGGGCTGCTTGTCCACCTTTGGTGTCCACCTGTCCCCCAAACCTCACTTGTGGCTCCAAGAAGCTGTAGCATAGGCAGTGGCCCTACTCCGGTGAAATCATTTTGTCAGACAGGCTAAACCAGGCTGAGGGTAACTGACAGGCCTCAAACCCATTGGTGAGTGAGGAGGATGTCCACCCAAATCGGGCAGATGAGAGTAATTTGTTCCAACAGCCAGGAAGGTGGCTGAAGCAGGTAGTGCTTGGTCAGACACCAAAGAAGTCAAGGTCATCCACTCCATCCTGGGCCATTGCCAGTCTTGATTTTTGTCTTACCACTAGACTTTGATGACTCTGGAAGAGAGAATGAGTCTGATAACTTTGTGCAACTCTGCCTCACTCAAATCCAGTTCACACACAAGTTAAGACATCACCCTGTGATATCATTGGTCCCCTTTGAAAACGGAGGAGCAACAATAACAGTGGGTCATTTATAAGAAGCTAAATAAGTAAATCTATTGCTTAATACTTAACCCATATTTAACCACAGATGGTCATTTATCTCTTCCAATATGCCTAGTTATTCTTATTGAAATGGCATCAGGCTACTATTGCATGTTCTTAGGTAGCAGCTATTGTATTGAATAAATTTGTTGTTGTTTGCTTGTGTTGTGTGTGTGTGTGTGTGTGTGTGTGTGTGTGTGTGTGTGTGTGATTTTAAAGGCTGTCATGGTGTAAAGGCAAGAGTGCCAGACTAAAAGTCAGGATGAGTTAAAGTCAAATCCTGCTTCACATACCAACTAGACATGTCAATATGAGCAAGGCATTTAACTACTTTCAACCTCAGTTTCCTCATTTGTAGGATGAGGATAATACCTGTACCACTAACCTTTGAGGCTTACTGTGAAGATTAAATGAAGTAATACATGTAAACTACTACAAAAATGTCTCTTGTTGCTGTGGATATAAAATGAACTGTCCTTAATTTTTTTTTTTAAATTTCTTTGTTTCAGTGTGACAAATGGTGGGAAGACAACCCTGGCCAAAAAACTCCAAAAACAGCTTCCAAATTGCAGCGTCATCTCACAAGACGATTATTTTAAGGTATCTTAGAAATTTCATTGAGAGAAAAGGTATACCTTAAGGCAAGTATTTATTAAATTGTTAGAGCGATTGCTAAACATTGTGCCTGTTGTGGTAAAGGCAGATTTGGGTCATTTACCTGATCATCCACTAGGTGACGCTATGAATTAGTCATTTCTCTTTGGTTGTTTTTTTGTTTTGTTTTGTTTTTTCATTCATCAGTTCATTATGTTTTAATATCATCACCAGAATCATTGACTAATGATGACACTTTTTTATTTTTAAGTTTTTGTCATTTCTGCTACACTTAATATTTCTTCTGATATTCATATTCATTTTGTTCTAGCCAGAGTCTGAGATTAAGATAGATGAGAATGGATTTCTACAATATGATGGTAAGCTGATTAGTGGTATCATTTACAAATTTATGCACTAATGTTCATTTCCTTTTTTTTTGCAACATAAGGGCCTCTTCTGAACAAAAAATGAATCTTAAAATTTTTTTAAATATGTCTCTTAAATCAGTACACACTTAATCATGCTGAATAGTTTTAATTAATTAAATCACTTCCCCAGTTTTGCATGTGAAATTTGAATTTTTAAAGCAGTGGTGAAATTATAAATGTTCTCTCATATCAAATTATCCTTCATTCTGGCAGAGCAGAATTCTTTAGTTTCCCCTTTCCTTAAAGTTGTTGGAAATGGGGCTGTAATGTAATACTTAGCCCCCTAGGGACCTAGCCTGGGGCAGAGCGCTCTACCTGCTTCTAGGTCCTGCCCTAATTCTCCTCGCCTCAGGTGACCTTCCGCTTTTCTGGCCCTCAGACAGCCAAGCCATTTTCCCTCAGCTGCCTGTAAAGGACTGTCCATAGATCTTAGAAACAGATTTCATACTCTTGAATAATAGGTGACATTATCCTAAAGGTAAAGAATTTTAAATACTGTAACATATAGCCTTTTTATGCCCTTAGAGATCATAGGCCTTAGGACATGTATTTATGTACATGCACGTATGTGTGTATACATGTAGAGAGTACATCAGAAATTAGTAGCAAACTCTTAACTCACTTTAGTGGGGGTTTAAAAAATTGTTTAACCTTGGCAATAATAGTAACTATCAATTATAGAGCACTTTATAGTTTTCAAAGCATTTACATATTTTATTTCATTTGATCTTTGCAAACAACTCTGTGAGATCTGTGCTGTTATTATCCCCATTAGATGTTGTTGTTTTTGTTGAGATTTCAGCAGTGTCTGACTCTTCACGACTCCATTTGGGGTTTCTTGGCAAAAATACTGAAATGGTTTGTTATTTCCTTCTCCAGCTCATTTTACACATGAAGACACTTAGGCAGGCAGGGTTAAGTGACTTGACCAGGGTCATACAGCTAGTGAGTGTCTGAGGCAAGATTTGAACTTAGGTCTTCCTGACTCCAAGTCCATTGCTCTATCTACTGTACCACCTACCTTCCCAATCCCCCTTTTACAAATGAGGAAACTGAGGCAAGCAGAGACTCAGAGGAATTAAGTGACTTGCCCAGGGTCACACAGCTAGTAAATGGGTGAGGCAGGATTTGAACTCAAGTCTTCTTGACTCCAGGTCTAGCACTCAATGCACTAGTTGTCTAGGTGAGAGTGGAATAAAAGTTCTCTCATCATTTCCTCCATATATGTGTGTATATATGTATGTATGTGTGTATCTGTACATACATACACATATGTATGTAGAAAGAGAGAGATTATTATTTCTCTCTTGTATTTAATAACTAATTTTTAAATTTGGACCAAGGTTTTTCCCCTTTTTTTTCTGCCTTCTCATTCAGAAATCAACCAGTGTGGGAAATCTTGCTCAAAGATTAACCCAGCCTGGAAAGCTAAGATCTAATCAAAGACAGTGAAGAAATTCTAAGCTTAGGCAAATAGGTGGATTTTTGCTCATTGTATTTACTCAGACAGTAAATGGAAAAATGTAGAGTCTTCTTTTTGTCAGATGGGTGATATAGAAATTGACCAAGATTTTGGTGCTCAGTGTCAGTACCCCAAGAACCTCAATGGAATAAGCCCAACTCTCATTATAATATTCATTTTCTCATTAATTGTTAACCAATCAGAATTGATTGCCACCCTCAGGAATACCCACTCTTCCAAGAGCATATGAACTGTGAGCTCACTGCCATGAGTCATCTTTGGTCCAAGAGAGACAGCTAAGTGACCATTCCTTTTATTGATAATATGCTAGCATTATTAATAAAATGATTAATTAGCCAGAAACTGTCTCTTAAACTTTTAAAATATCACAATATATATGTGTGTGTGTATGTGTGTATACATATACACACAGAGAGATAATCACTTAGAGAAACAAAGACATTTATTCCTTGTTTGTGCCTACTTGTCCAGCTGAAACCAAGGCATTTTCCCATAGTTCCCCTCCACCTTTTCCAGGGTACATTCAAGAGCTTATTAGATGGTAGAGAGTGAACCTAATTGTATGACTGTATTTGCAGCTTGTTGAGTTTTGCTAAAAAGAAATTCAGAATTTACAGAATGAAATTATGTCCTTAGGAGTCAGAATTTTTCACTGCGTTTGAATTCTTATGTCCCATACATCCCCCTACTTCTGCCTCAGCCCAAGCTTTTCTTCTCTGGCTTGCTGCTTTGGAAGGAGTAGTGTGATATAGTGGTTAAAGTGTAAGACCCAAAGTCAGACCTGGGTTCAAATCCCACCTCTGAAATTTGTTAGCTGTGTGGCCCTGAGCAAGGCATTTAATTTCTCTGAGTCTTAGTTTCCTCATTTCTAAAATGAGGGGATTGGACCACATGGCCTTGAAGATTTTTTTTCCCATCTATAATCCTGTAATTGTTTTCTGAGTTTGTAATGGTACATACACTGATTAAGAATGGATCACTTCTCAGCACCTTACTTTGTCCTGGAAGGCAAAAGAATCATCTTTCTAACATGAATCATATTAATTAGGCATAATATTAATAATTAGACAAGGGGCTCTAATTTTTCTCTCAAAAAATAAAAATTTGTAATAGCAAATAAAAAATTGTAATTGCAGCTTTTAAAAAATTGAAAATATTCACTACAGACAGTCATAAGCTTTAGGGCATTGGGTATTTTGATGAACGATGTGGGTTGAGTGACCTAGCAACCAGAGTTACTTGCTATAAGGAAATGAAGCATGGTCAATGCTTTGCCCCATCTTCCTAATGCTAGCACAAGCCCACATGAAAGGCTAACTATAATGATCCTCATGTTTTTAATGCATAGCTCGCCTTTGTGGGGAAAATTTTTTTTTTAACTGTAACTATGATTTCATTGGTGTGAGAAACTCCCAGGGAGAAAATTCCTTTTACCATTGGAGGCTGGCATCACCTGTATAACTTCTGTGGAGTTGCCTGGAACACTGAGAGGATAACTGCCCCATGGCCAGTTTGTTATCAGAGGCAGGACTTGAACCCAGGTCTTTATAACTCCGAAGTCACCTCTGTATCAATTTACACTACATTGACTCAGGGAACTTATATAACTTTTTGATATTAAAGCTCTGGACTTGGAATGCCTGAATGAAAGTCCTACCTTGATACTGACTAGCTGTGTGACCCTGAACAAGTCACTTAACCTTTTTCAGCCTGTTTTCTCATCTGTGATGGAGACATAGCTGCCTACCTCACTTTGGTCCTAATGTGGACTATGCAGTAGCACATTCCTGGAGCTGATCCATTCTCCCACTTCTGAAGGTGGACTTCTTCTGCTTTATACTTGAAAGTATAAGAGAGGGGATAACTGGCTGGGAAGGGAAGGACATTGGGGGAAATGATGTCAGTAAAACCTTATTTTAAAAAATTTTTGCAAAGAGCACTTTTTCCCATTTATAAACTCAGTGGTCTCAGGAATAGAAACCTCATATGTCATTGGAGGCAGCATGGCAAAGAGAAAAAAATACAGGAATTGGTGTCAGTAGATCTGGGTTCAAATTTAGCTGTATGACATTTATTATTATCATTATTATTATTATTTTAATGGAACTAGAAGAAATTAGTTTCAATAGTTGACACTGAAATTTCCAAAAACATAGTTTTTGACTTGCTTTTTAAGAAGTTGAATTAGGCGACATATTTCCAAGGTTTTCACTAATATCCCAAGTAATTATTCTAGAATGCTAACTGGAAAAAATACTATTTTCCTTTCTCTTCCCCCCCCACTTCATTTTTAGTTTGTTTTATAGAACAGAGGTTCCTTTTCAAATTCTTGGGCAATGACATATCTTATTTAATGGTTGAGGTTTTACTAGTATTGTGCAATATCTAAGATACACTGTTGCTCATAAGTTTTTCTTCTTTCAGAATGCTGCATATTTAAATTCTACTTTCAAATTAGTGGGTTCCAAATACGTGTCCTTCATACAAATACAGATACATAAAATCTGCTCCTCCCGAAAAATGCTTTAGTTCCAGATGTGGTGCTTAAAATGTTTGATATTCATTTTTTGAAGGGAAAATACAATGATGCTATTTCTGTGACATTTACAGGGCTCCAGAAGTACCCCAAATATCTCACTGTAGGCATCTTTATTGCTACTCTTTTATATTTTGTCTTTTTAGAACTTGAAGCTCTCAATATGGAAACACTGATGTCTGCTGTCTACTCCCAGATGAAAAACCCAAGAAATTCCCTAGAATCAGATGACCTGGAAAGTGCTGAGGAAGTCCCTATTTTAATCATTGAAGGTTTCCTTCTCTATACTTATAAGTAAGCATACCACCCTAACATTGATTTCAAGTAGACAAGGAAAACTCGAGAACTAAATATGTTATCATCTTAGGCCTCTTGATTCTGTATGGAATAGAAGATATTTTCTGACCATTCCATATGAAGAGTGCAAGCGAAGAAGAAGGTAAAATTTTAAATTACCTTTTTTTCATTGTCATCCGTATCAGGATGTGTGTGTATATGTATGTGCATGTGTGTAAAAATACTCAATCATGAATTAGTACTTTCAAACACCTCCTTCAGATCTTTACTTGTAGAGATTGTGTATACATTATATTATTGTATATGTCACCATTTATAATATAGAGAAATCCAAGTTCATGGCTCTAAAGAAATAAAGCTTTTGGTTAAGTTAGTTTGATTTTTTTTTTTGGCTACACGATGGGGTTAAGTGACTTGCCCAGGGTCACATAGCTAGTAAGTGTCAAGTGTCTGAGGCTGGATTTGAACTCAGGTCCTCCTGACTCCAGCGCTGGTGTTCTATCCACTGAACCACCTAACTGCCCCCTGATTTGATTTTTACTGTCCATTCATTTACAGGGATGAATTTAAAGTGATGTTGATTCAGGCCCCCTGCAAATTGTTCCTCTAAGAGAAGACTAACAAAAACACCTAATATCCTTTAGCTTATTTTTTTCCTTATTCTTTAGGCTGTAGACCTAAAATTCATAGCATTATAGAATGTTAAAACTAGGAACACTGATGTGCTGGAAAATGTCTAACAACTGGCTCTCCAGGGAAAAAACGTATGCCCAACGCACTCATGAGTTCCATGTGTGTTATTACTATTTTCTCCATCACTTCTTTAAGTCTAGATGCTCCAATAAATAAATGAATGAATGGATTTAATAAATTAATGACATCCTAATTTAAATAAATAAATAAATAGACAAGCAGATAAATAAATAAATGAAACCCTGATTTGTAGCACTTGCTGATTATCAAGGTACAAATGCTCTATTAGCTGGAGTCAGGTGGAGCTGGCACCAGCTGGAAGAGATCTTTGAGATCACATAGTCCAACGTCATCATCCAGCTTGGACCTTGGTGATACTCAGTTTCCCTATAACTGGATTTCTCTTTTGTTTTCCTGCCTGAGTCCTCATCCTCTGCTACTACTTCCTGCTCTGTGTAGCTAGATCCCCATTAGTGTGAATAATGAATCTCATAAAGTGGTCCTATTATTCAGATTCCCACTGCATCTTTCCACTGGGCTGGAACTAATTACTATATTTTATAAAATTATAACTTTGAATAGTACAGATTGGAATATGTGACCACTTCATGGAATTCATCATTTGAACTAAGTGGGACCTAACTGTACTCCAGCTGCCCAGTGATTAGGGTCTACTTTGTCCTCCTAGTCCTTCCAGTGTCTTCCTGGCACATAGTAGGTGCTTAATAAATGCTTACTGACTGACTGATTAAACTCTAACCTCTTTGTGACTAGGTACTTGCTATCTGTTGCTAGACCCTCTCACTTATTGACTACTTAACCTCTTCTACTGACGTTTGCCCCTTGCTTGCTTGCTGCCTAGGTCTCCACCCTGTGCCTTAGCTCTAGGTATAGACAATCATCCTGTTTCTGTTCTCTAGCACTGTCAATAGAACCCCTTCCTTTTTCTTATATACCCCAGATTGAACCTCCCCGAAAATAAAGCTGCCCAGTTGCTTGCCACTCAGGTCGTTCCCTCCACCTATAGTGAGGAAATAGGGAATGAGAATGGATATGGCCTAGTGAAAGCTTTAGTTTGTGAAAGAAAACAATTGAACAGGAACCATTTTATAATAACTATAGGACTGCTGCAAAGTGCTAAAAGCTAATTGGTGTCATTATTAAGTCAAAAGGGCCTAGTGTATCTCAAAAGCAGTAAATTTAGGCCAAATAAGAGTGCTAAAGTCTTACACCAGTGCCTTGTGGTAGCATTTCCCTTGAATTCTATATTTTTAAAAGTTATGCTATCACAAATACTTGATGATTGATTGATTGATGCCAGTGAGACATGAGCTGTGCCAGGTCCAGCCATACTGGAAAGGCTTAGTTTACAGGTTGGCGGTTATCCAGTCATCTGAGGATCAGCCCAGCCAAGTATGGAAAGCCCTGTCACCAGAGAGTCAACTATGGGGGGATGAATTGTTTTTAGCCATAGCAATTCATGAAGATTGTCTATTAAGGCATGGAGGAAGGATTACTGACATCAAAGTTAAAAACAAACCAGCTATGAAATGGTGGGTAAGAGCAGCCCTAGTGTCTATGATAAAATGGCAACCAAGTGACAACCTTAGGGGTTGTCAAAATCTGCTGCAATGAAAAAAATTTTATATACTGGTTATTTCCATTTATATATTTGTTTTTATTATATCACTTTAATTTTCATGTAAAGTCAGCATTTTCTAACATCTGTTCCTTAGGATGGGTCAGGGAGGGCCAAAGGGGTCACACAAAGGCACATATTTCTCTGCTAAGAATGGAAACTTTAAGAAGGAAAGATGAGCATGGGCAGCTCCAAATCCAGACAAGCAGAGAAGCATCACAGGAAAGCAGGAACAGCACTCCTACTCTCCTTATACATCCTAAAACCATCATCTCTCTGACCAGAAAAAAACCCCATCAATGCTGCTAGGTGGTAGAAAGGGACTTTTAGGGAGAAAGAAGCCAAAGCCTCAATCAGCCCATTTGTAATTTACAGTCCAATACACAAATTAGTCTTAACTTTAGTCCACCCTATAAAGATAATATTCTTAGTTATCTTCATATATTGATACTCTTATCTCTACCTTGGGAACAATGAAATCTAATAGAATTTTCTTTTACAGATTACTAAAGGGAAAAAACAGATAATTGTTGATTAATGTTAATGGATTTGGTAGACCTTAGAATATATTACGTCTTAGTCCATCTGCTAGGGATGAGTCTTGGCATAACTAACTAGGCTGGTCCTTGGACAATAGATAGTTTGTTGTAGGGACTATACTCCCAGGATCCTATTTTTCACGAGTTTTTAAACTAATTGTTTGGTCTGACAAGTTATTTTATGACTTTTTCACTGATGTTGAGTTTTAAATAATATACACTGAACTGTTTTTAATTATTAGAACTTCAGTGGCAGAAGACAGTTTGGAAAAATTTATATCTGGGGTAAATAAGTGTCCATTAAAGTTATTTTATTAAGGCATGTTTTATTGCTTTCATACCTCCAAACACTATCTCAACTATATCTCTAAAAAAATATATCCTGCTATTAATCATTTATTTTATGTAAGTGAAAAGAAAGAGAGTGAACATGATATAGCAAATAGAGAGCAGGTCTTGAAGTCAGGAAGACTTTGGTTCAAGCCCTGCCTCTGACCCTTACTGGCTGTCATTGTCATTTCACTGGACAAATGATTTCACTTCTCAGTATGTGAGACCACTGGGAGAGGAACTTCCTTATTGGAGCTTCTACTGGTGAAATCTCTGGTCAGTATTTAAAAAAAAAAAGAACCCTTCCATTTCCTGACCATTCATGTTCTATTTAGTATATCATTTCCAATTTGCGTAAGTGAATATATGCCTATGCGTGTATTTATGGATATCTCTATGCATATGTATCTATAAAACCTACCGTGGTTTTTTCTTTTTTTTTAAAGCACCAGGGTCTATGAACCACCAGATCCTCCAGGATACTTTGACGGGCATGTGTGGCCAATGTATTTAAAACACAGAAAAGAAATAGAAGACATTGCAAGAAATATAGGTATTTAATTTTTCTCTTTGGTCAAAGTATTTTCTAAAATTATTTTTCCTTAAATGAGAGGAAAAAATTTAGGAATTTTCTCTTTTAAGGAGATTTTTCTGGACAACTTTACAGTCACTGTACGTCATGGTCAAAATAGTACTGCTCTTTAGGCTTCATCACCTCGTCTCTAGGACACTGGCTATTTTGGTCTCTGTTCCTAGTGTTTTGACTCTTGCCAAAAGCCAGTCAACGTTAGGGCAGCCCTGTATGCCCAGTTCAGGAAACAGAGGAGAGTAGAAGGAGCTCTGAAATCTGAAGATAAAAGGATCTAGGTCAGGTTGAGGTCTGCTACTTCATAGTTGTGTGATGCTGTACAAATCATGTAAACTTGCTGGCCCTCAGTTTCCTAGTCTTTGAAATCTGATACACACACACACATATATACACACATTACATTATATAATGTATATTATATATGTGTGTGTAATATATATATTTGTACTCTCTAGCTCTTGGGGTGGTTGTGAGAAAAGTGCTTTGAAAATCTTAAAGCATTCTACAAATATAAGTTTTTGTTAATAGGAGGTGAGGAAAGAGGCAGCTGAACAGAATTAGGGGGATGAGTGTTCCCCTTCTCTTTCTTTACCCCAAAGTGGCAGGGCAGCAACTTTTACTTTAACTCCACTCGCTCTCACAAAAACAAAGTATGGGCTCCTGAGAAGCCTCTGATGGCATCCACTGTTACCATTTTAAAGTGGGGAGGGAGAGGCAGGGGAGAGGAATATATGCAGAGGAGAGTTATGCAGGAAAAACATTTTTTTCCTTAATTTGTTCTTAAAATATTATTGAGTGACTGGAGAACAACTTAAATAAAGTATCTGTCTCCTACTTTCACAATGGTCATTTGTGTCCTGACCCTGAAATGGAATGGAATCTTTTTTCTTTTTTCTTGCAAGGCAGTTGGGGTTAAGTGATGTGCCCAGGGTCACGCAGCTAGCAAATGTCAAGTGTCTGAGGCAGGATTTGAACTGAGGTCCTCTTGACTCCAGGACTGGTGCTGTATACTGGTGCGCCACCTAGCTGCACTAGGATCTTTTTTCTTTCATCTCTCCATCCACCCTCTACCTCTTCTGGGTCATTTCCCTCTCCCTCTTCCACCTCCCCCCCCTTCCCACCTTTCACAAACTTTTTTATTTCTTACCCATTTTCCAGTCCTTCATCTTCACGTACTTCCTCAATTCTGCTTTGGTTGAGTATTTTAGATAATTATATTCCAAGTCATGGAAGCATTTAGATTTTTTCCCAAAAAGGAGATACATCTTTTCCTTGTTTGTTTTAATTAGTCAGCCTGTGGAACCATGATGATAACCCCAAATAAGAGTACTTGGTTAGATCTGTTTCTCTTTCTTCTCCTTTTCCCACAAACCACTCTTTTTAAAGTTTTTATGCTCAGATATCAAGCAAGTGAACTTCAGCGTAAATATGGGCTCGCCTCCAGGTTTGGAGTTACAGAAAAGATGGAAATCACTGCACAAACTAATTGATACATTTGCTTTGTTTTGTTTATGCCTGGCTTTCTTGTGGCTCTTCTCTTAATAATATTTGATTTTCCAAGGTACAGTGAAACAAATTTGACAGAAGCAGGCAGGAGTCTAAGAAAAAAGAATAACCCTACATGTTTTGTAATGTTAAATATTTACTGAGAGAGATTGATGACTCCCAGACTCCAATTTCATTGATCTACCACTAAAGATTATTACAGAGATCTGTCTTATTCAAGTCCAAGGGAGAGAACAGAGAAATAAGTTTTACATAATTCACTTAACGCATTTGTCAGCCATAAAAGCATAAATCCATATGAAATTCAAGTTAATGAACATTCCTGCCTCACCAAAAAAAAAAAGAAAGAAACTTTAAAAAATTATAAATTGTCCTGGCAGGAAAATCTTTGAACCGATTTTCTCCATCTTCTAAGACAGTGAGCTAAATTTATGACCAGCTGTGTCAACTTGGCTGTGGATCTACTTGGATGACTTGACTGATTTAAAATAGATTTTTTAATGGTCATAATCATGTGTTCTTTATTTAAATTCATTAGCTTGTAGAGAGATGTCAATTTCATCAAATGAGATAATGTGTGTGCCGTAAAGCTATCGTTTCTGTTATTAACAATAATAACTACAACAACAATAATAAATTTCTCCATTAAAGCCCCACTCTTGTGCACCAGTGAGGTATGGAGGTGACCCTGGCTTCCCAAAGGCTATGACAACTGGGTGTGAGGCTGATACTACCAAACTGGAAAGGCCTCAGGTACGCTCTCAGCAACAGATTATGTGCCAGGTTTGGACAGGCTCACCACCAGAGGGCTGGCCACCAGCTGGTGAATTCTGGCCTCAGCAATTCTCAAAATCCATCCACAAAGACGCCAATGAGATTTCTTTCTGTATCTGTGGAAATCCTGGCTTACTGAAGTATTCAATTATTCAACATCCTTTTTGTTGTTGTTCTTAGCAGCTACCCAAAATAAGCCTCCTTTTAAGTTTTCATAATCCTGAGGAGTTCAGTAGGTCAATGTCTCATTTTTTTTCTTTTCCCTCAGTTTATTTAGATGGGACAAAATCTGAGGAAGACCTTTTTTCACGGATCTATAATGACTTGATAGAAGAAAGAGCAAAGCAGAAATGTGAGTACGGTCCAGTTAAATGGGGTTGGGGAGGAAGGGGAGAGGCACAATACCTCTCACTATGATCTCCCTGCATGATTTTGTTACCTATTTTTATTAAGCAAAGTTAAACACTTCAGGGCATTGAAGAAAAGTTTGGGGATATTGCATGGCAGGGGGAATTCTCTTCAGACTTAGGAGTTCTTAACCTGGGGTCCATGAGCTTATATTTATGATTTAATATCTATATTCCAACATAATTGATTTCTTTTGTAATCCTATGCATTTTGTTTTATGCAGTTAAAAGCTGAATTCCAAGAGGGGTGTTCATAGACTTCACTGGACTGCCAAAGGGCCTCTAGACATAAAACAGGTTAAAAAAGCTCTGAGTGCTGAATGCATGCCATGGTAGGTGCTTAATAAGTGCCTATTGAGATAAATGTGATTTATCTCAATCAATCAAAAGTGCAGGCACTTATTAAGCACCTTCCATGGCTAAAATCCATTGCCAGGAGAGAGGCAGCATAGGGAACTGCCCTTGAACTCAAGTCCTATCTCTGACACATATTGGCAGTGTGACCTTTACTGTCCCCAGAAAACTCTTGTAGAACATTTGTTTATTATTAACAGGTTGTGTATCTTCATGGGGGAAAGTTTTTACATTGATGAAATCATAGATCTAGAGAGAAATTTTTTAAATGTATTGGGTGCTAGATTACAAAGACAAGTCAGTTCACATTTATTAAGTGCCTATTAAGGCTCACTGTGCTAAGAGATGGAGATAGAAATAAGAAAAAAGAAAAACCATTCCAGTCCCCAAGGAGCTTGCCATTCAGTGGGGGAAGACTACCCAAATGGAAGCTGTAAAGGTGGGGAGAGGGGACACCAGAGGGTATCTGGTGAGGGAGAAAATGATGTTTGTGAATTTGAAATCACTCAGAGCAAATGAAAGTAAATGAAGTTAGCTGCAAAAATCTGAGCCTGATAATAGAGAGGGCATCTAGGTGATGAAGTAGATAGAATGCCAGGCCTGGAATGAGGAAGACTTATCTTCCTGAGTTCAAATCTTGCCTCACACATTTACTAGTTTGACCCCGTGCCCATTTTGCAAGTGAGGAAACTGAGGCAAACAGGGTGAAGTGATTTTCCCAGGGTCATGTAGCTACTAAGTGTCTGAGACCGGATTTGAACTCAGGAAGATGAGTCTTCCTGACTCCAGGCTGGGCACTCTATCCACCGCAGCATCCACTATTCCAATGATGGTATTTAATGTCATGTATTTGTGAAAATCTTAAAGCTTTACAAAAGCATTAGTTATAATTACCACTCAGAGGTTGTCATGTCACATTTTGCCTAGAGCCCCATCCTTCCTTGGAAGAGCAACTGCTATTAGATTAGACTTCAGTGATGTAGAGAACTCCCTGTACCAATATAGATGAGCGCTTCTGCAACTTGTAATCTTAGAGAGTTACTAGGATCATGGAGGGGGTAAGTGATTTGTCCAGTGCCGTATAGCTAGTATATGTCAGAGATAGGACCTGAACCCAGGACTTTGTGGTATTGAGGCCAGCTCTCTAGCCACTGCACTAGACTGCCTCTCTTGGATTAAATGGTTACTAAAATGATTGATAGACAAAAATCAAGAATCAGAGGGGGCAGTTAGGTGATGCAGTGGATAGAGCGCCGGACCTGAGTTCAAATCAGGCCTCAGACACATAACACTTACTAGCTGTGTGACCCTGGGCAAGTCACTTAACCCCATTGCCTAGCCAAAAAAAAAAAAAAGAATCAGAGGAACTTCTCTGTGTGTCATAGACTACCATCTCTAGCCTTACAGGATTCTGGCAAAAGAGCCAGGGAAGGTAATTTGAGGTGCTTAAACAGAAGTTGATTCTGGCCTTTGCACAAACACACTCATTCTCTGCTAATGGGAAGCATTCAGGAAGGGCCATTCTTAGGACCTGAGGGAGGAGCACTAATCCCAGAGCTAGAGCTGATTCACTTGTAAGGGCCTCATGCACTGCTGTTAGCTTGACTGAGTCCTGACAGGGACAGAGAAGGCTGAGGCAAGGAATTCAGTCAAATTTTGCCCCAGATGAATGGTCCAAATGGATATCACGCTGGGCCTGGACTCAGGAACGTGTTCAGTCTTTTCAGGAGTGTCTGATTCATCATGACCCCATTTGGGTTTTTCTTGGCAAAGATACCAGATTGGTTTGCCATTTCCTTCTTCAGCTCATTTTACAGATGAGGAAACTGAGATAAAAAGGGTTAAGTGACTCACCCAGGGTCACATAGCTAGTAAATGTTTGAAGCCAGACTTAAACTCAGGGAGATGAGTCTTCCTGACTCCAGGCCCAGCATGCTATCCACTGTGTAACCAACCATCACTTAACCTCAGTTTGCCACAGTTTCCTTAACTGTGAAATGGGGAACATAATAGCACCCACTTCCTTGGGTTGCTGGGGAGGATTAAATAACATAGTATTTGTAAAGTACTTAGCACAGTGCCTGGCACACAGGAAGTGCTTGTTCCTGTGAGGTAAATGCAATTATGATCCCCATTTTACAGATCAGGCAACTGAGCTTGGGAGGTTAAATGATTTGTTCAAGGTCACATAACTGGTAGATGTCTGAGGCAGGATTTGCTCTCAGTTCTTCCTGACTCCAAGTCCTGTACTTTATCTACTGTCCTACCAGGTGCCTCTAATTATCATCATTATTATTGTTGTTAATTTGTTGCATTTTTACATTATGTCGTTATTGTAATTCACACTGATATAGTGCTTTACAGTTTACAAAGTGCTTCCCACAGAATAGCCCAAGGAGAGGATAAATAGAGTGCAAATATCCCAGCCAGTTTTGCCCCCTGTTCCAGTTGCCCTGAGCACTTGACAGCATAGCTGGTGCCAAAAGGCCATCTGAGGATAATTTCTCTACGTGCCTGCTCTTTCCTTGCTCCTCCCAAGAGTCTGGCAAGGAAAGTGGCATCTGGGCAGCTTTTCACTTAACTGCCTCCTGAGTGTATTTACCTCCCCACCACCCAACAACATGGTTCAAAAAAAATTAACAGACAGAGGAGTGGGGGAATGAAGAAAATTATTCCAGGAGTACCACAAATGACCCAGATAATTTTTTTAATCAATTCTATAATGTAATACAGATAGTAACTCATTGGTAGAGCCTCCACATTTGAAAATGTTAGAGAAATTCTGCCCACTTTCCCTGTTCCAGTCTGGAATCCTGGAATAGTAGATAATCCTATATGTTCTTAAATTTCTTCTGGAGGAAATGCCATTCACCCAGAAAAACAGGGAAAAGAAATAATTACAGAATTGTTTCAGCTATTGCTTAAAAACTACCCCTGACCACACCTGTCTTTCTTGGTCTCCCCGGGTCTGACACATGCTGCAAACTTAATAAATACATGTTGACTAACTGAATGACCATGTGATAGGATATAGAGAGATTTATAAATAAATGTAAGAAAGCAGAGATAATTCGCAGTGCCATAAAAATACAAGCAAATAATACAGACCTGGATGGAAACTTAATCACATCTTGGATAATGAAGGGGTCACAGAACAAAAAATATCCTAAGACAGAACTTAGCCATCAAGTGTAGTGAGGATATATTGGGGGATTATGAGCACCTGCCTTTCATCTGGACTCAGTTCAGGGCATTTCAGCGTACAGATGCTGTATTAAAAAGTTATGATTCTCACCCGTGATTGTTGTAGTCATTGGGTGCTAAATTTATCCCTGTGCTTCCTAAGATACTCATGAATATTCAGCCCAGCCTTTGGGGCTGTTTCCTTCTTTATGATGATGAATCTGATCAGTAAAACTTTTGCTGGCAGACTAGGGATTGTACTGCAACCCCTTAAGCATTTCAGTTGTTTAATCAGTTACTCCCTCTTAAAATTGTGCACCTTCTGTAACATCAGCTCTTGTTGATGACAGTCACACAGAATATGCCATAGTGTCTCTAGATGGGGTGAACCCATTAGATGATTTAAAAGAAAAATAATTGCTTAATTCTTTGAGAAAAAAGCATTCCATTATGGGGCCAAAGCCCACTGTAATGAGACTAAAAGAAGAAACAACTTTGATTAGTTATAATGAGCAACCCAGGAGAGCTAATGATGAAATACTCTTTGCCTCAGTAGAGAGGAGGAGAACACAGATGCAGTGTAGTAGGCTTTGTCAGATGTTATTACTGTATGGATTGATCTTGCTTAAATGTTTACCCTCATTACAAAGAAGGCTTCTCGGGGCAGCCAGATGGGGCAGTGGATAGAGCACCAGCCTGAGAGTCAGGAGGACCTGAGTTCAAATTTGGCCTCAGACACTCACTAGCTGTGTGACTCCGGGCAAGTTACATAACCCTAGTCGACTTAAAACAAACAAAATAAAAAACATAGCCTAAGAAGAATCTGTGTGTGTGTGTGTGTGTGTGTGTGTGTGTGTGTGTGTGTGTGTTGGTGTGATAGAAGAGAATTAAAAATATGTCTTTCTCATAAAAACAAAAGATTCTTCCAAAGTCACTGTAACTTTGTGGTTCTTGCTTAGTAGGATTCACAGCTAAGTATTCTCCATTGACAACTCTTCTTTTGATATTTTCCCTGAAGGTCTGCAGATAACTCCCAAGGTGCCTTCCAACTCAACATCTAGGGTCCTATGAGTAGCATCGAGAGGGGATCCATCAGAATTCTTTCCAGTGTGGATTAGAAGAGTCTAAAGAAGCTATTCAGTCACATAACCAAGAGAATGATACCCGAAATCACCACTGTAGTGTAAAGGAAAACAATACTAGAAGACTTCAGATTACTCTAATAACCAATCTTGATTCCAGAAAACTGAGGATGAGATATGTTTCTCTCCTCTTGGGAGAGAGATGATGGACTAAAGGTGTGAAAAGCATCATATCTGTATGTGCCATGATCTGATGGTCAGTGTTTTTTGTGGGGATCAGGGTGAGCAGGAGCTTGCTCAATTACTTTTTTTTTAATGGGAGAAGGTTGCATGGGAGCATTAGGAAGTGACAAGGATGTAGAAAAAAATTAAAAATACTGGTAAGACATTGAAAGAGAGAGAACAAAATTATTTTTATTCTAAAGGTTCAGTACCTTGGTGCTATTGTCAGCTCCAGCTGAGTCTTGTCAGCCCTGATGGAATGAAGCACATATGAAAAGCAGATAACTCCTTTAAGCAAATAAAAATATCATCTTTCATTACCTGCGTACACCGTCAGGGGTGGGAAATGTGCTGCCTTGAGGCCACATGTAACCTTCTAGATCCTTAAGATGATTTTTAAAAATTATCTGTGTCATTTGTGGTACTCCTGGAATAACTGTCTTCATTTCCCATCTCCTCTGCCTGTATTTTTTTTAATTTTGTGAAATTTGGATTCAGTCAAAAGGCTGCATTTCAGGATCTAGAAGGCCACATGTGACCTCAAGGCCTCAGGTTCCCCACACCTGCACCAGGTCCTCCACAACTTCCCCACAGTTCTACAATATGCTCAGCTCTTTCTATCTTAAAAGGCATTTCCTGTGCCCCTGCTACTCATTGACATCATCGACCCAATCACTGTCCCTCCCCTTCACTACCAAAAGTCTAGAAAGAGGAATTTATACCTGCTGTCTCCTTTCATTCAGTTCCTTGCAATCTGGTTTCTATATCCCCTGCTCTACTAAAACAACTCTTTGCAGGGTTACTAAGGAAGCTAAACAACGGCTTTCATGTCGATTCTAATCCTCCTTGATTTTTCTGCCTCATTTGGAGTACCCCTCTTTCTGGATAGTGCTATCTCCCTTGACTTCCCTAACACTGAGCTGTTCTCTCATCTCTCTGACCATCCCTGTCCTATCTCTTGCTACCTTCTTCTCTGGTATTTTAATGTAGATTTCTCCCAAGTGTCTGTCCTTGGCCCTCATATCTTCTCTTCCTATACTTGGTGATGTCATCCACTCCCGTAGTTTCAGTTATCACCTCTACAGATGAACCCCAAATCTGTATTTCCAGCCCACCCCTTCCCTAGAACTTCCATCCCATATTTCCAGATGTCTCCCTGCATAGCTTTAAATTCGACGTGTTCAAAACTGAGCTCATGTCCTCCAAAATCTAGCCCTCCTATCTCTCTGTTTCTGTTGAAAGTACCCATCTTCCTGGCCACCCGAGCTAAGTACCTTAGAATTTAACTCTTCCCTAACCCTGACCCCCACACCACATACCACACATCCAGGTATTTGCCAAGTCTGTTGATTTTATCTCCACAATATCTGTCCACGCAGTGCCTCCTTTCCATCCCTACTAAAAGTACACTTGTTTATGCCCTTGTCTATTTTCAGTAGCTATTGTAATAGCATCCTGACTTGTCTCCCTGCCTCCAGTTTATCACTACTTCCCCTGTAATCTTCCTAACACACCTCTCTGATCATGTCTCACTCTTCAAGCTTCTGTGGTTTCTTTTACGTACCACCAAATCAGATATAAACTCCTAATCCTAGCATTCAAGTCTCTCCCCAATCTGGTTCCAACCTGCCTACACAGCCTTTCATTATAGTCTATATCCCAAATAAAGTGGGCTACTTTCTTTTTTTTAAATTAATTTATTTTAGTTTTCACCATTCCCATAAGCTTTTGAATTTTAAATTTTCTCCCCCTCCTTCCCTACCTCCCTCCCCAAGACAGCATGCAATCTGATATAGGCTCTACATATACATTCCTATTAAACATATTTTCACATGTTATAAAGAAGAATTAAAACCAATAAGAGGAACCTCAAGAAAGAAGAAAAAAACAAAACAGAAGGAAAAAAAAGCAAATTGTATGCTTTGATCTGCATTCAGACTCCATAATTCTTTCTCTGGATGTGGATAGCATTTTCCATTATGAGACTTTTGGAGATGTCTTAGGTCCTTACATTGCTGAGAAGAGCTAAGTACTGGGCTGCTTTCTTTTCCATCTTCTGGTCCTGCCTTCTCTCATCTCCATTGCCTTTGCTCACACAATTCCCTGTACCAACAGAGGACTTCCTACTTCCGTATCCCCCTGTTGATGTCCTTCAAGACCCAACTTAGGTGCCACTTCCTCTGTTTACAAACCTCCATCCCAAGTGAAAGTGATTTCTCTTTCCTTAGATTTCTTCTAGCATTTTGCCTGGACCTGTCCTTTCTACTTAATTATTTACATTAATTGTCTACCTGATCATTAGATTTTAAGTTCTTTAAGAATAAGTTCTGTTGTGTGTGTGTGTGTCTGTGTGTGTGTCTGTGTCCATGTCCATCCTCAGCACCTAGCACAGTATATGCACAAATTAAGCACTTAATAAATGCTTCGTGAAATTGATTGATTCTTCTAGTCTGATCATCTAGATTCTTTATGCTCTTCTTCTCCCTTTCCCCAGCATATTAACCGATTTCCAGTGAAAGTACCCAAATAATGTGATTTAGTCCAAATAGTCTGGAAAACAATTTGGAATTATGCTTAAAAAAAAAATTGTCCAAGCCTTTTGACCTAAGCATCCATCTGCTAAGCTTCTATCCCAAAGAGGTTAAAGATGGAACAGAAGATCCAAAATATATGCCGAAGTAAGGAGGAGGAGGAAGAGAAGGAGAAGATAAAAGCTATCTCATAGAAAAACAACTAACTTCGAAAGGTAATTGAGAAGAAAAAATCTTAAGAATCATTGAAGTACCTAAAAGGCATGACCAAGAAAAATAGCCTAGTTATATTTCAAAGCATCTTAAATCTACCCAGATCTGTTAGACCTGGAGGCTGAAGCAGGGATAGAAATAATCCATCAAAAGAAATCCCAAAATGAAAACTCCCAGGAATGTTGTAGTCAAAATCCAGTTTCCAGATCAAATAAAAAATATTGCAAGGGGTCAGAAAAGGATTCAAGTACCAAGAAGCCACATTTGGGATCACACATGATTTAGCAGCTACTATTGCAAATGAGTAGAGTGTTCAGAATAAAATATTCCAGAAGGCAAAGAATATAGGCTTAAAACCACAAATTACCCAAGAAAATAGAATACAGTCCTACAGGGGGAGTAAATGGATCTTTAATGAAGTAGAAGACTTCAGAGCTTTCCTGATTAAAGGACTAGAACTTACAGAAATTTTCACTTTTAGCAAGAATCAAGAGAAGCATAAAAAAGTAAACATGAGCAAGCAATCATAAGAAATTAAATAAGGATAAACTGTTTATGTTCTAGTATAGGGAGATAATGCATGTGTCTGTCCCCCCTGAACTCTATTATCACAAATAGTAGGCGGCATCTAATTAGATGGAAAGCCTGAGAGTGATTCTATTATGTCTTGTTGATTTTTTAAAAAGAACAGGAATACATAAAGGGAGGATAAGAAAATAAGAAATAAGCATTTATATAGCACCTCCTATGTGCCAGGCACTGTGCTAAGTGCTTTGCAAATATACTCTCATTTGATCCTCACAACAACCCTGGGAGGTAGGTGTTATTATTATGCTCATTTTATAGTTGAGGAAATTGAGGCAGACAGGTTAAGTGACTTGCCTACAAGTCATACAGCTACTAAATGTCTGAGGCTAGATTTGAACTCAAGTCTTCCTGACTCCAAGTCTAGCACTTGGACCCGTCTAAGGCCCATTCATTAAACCATCCAGCTGCAAAGGTTGCAGGAGAGAGAGAAAGTAAGCTTAAGGAGAATTATCTTACATAATCAGGATTTGCAAGCATAAATTTATACAAACAAGAAGACAGGCTTGTGAGAGTAGTGAGAGACAGAGAGACTATAGGCAGCCCCAATGTTGTCCTAATGCTTATAAAATGTTTAAAGTCATAGAAGAAGCTTTCCAGTGCATTGGTAGAACATCCTTGGGGGGTTTATGGGAGAAGAGGGATTAGAACCATACCAGATAAGAAGGCATGAATGTGTTTCAGTCTTCACCCATGGGGGAAGAACCCACATCAATTAGATGGTAGGATTTAGAGCTAGAAAGGATCTTAGACATCATTGAGTCCAACCCCTTCATTTTACAGAAGAGGAAAATTAGGCACAAAGAGAATAAATGATTTGCCTCAGATCATACAGTCCAAAAGTGATGAGATTTGAACCCAGGTCTATCCTGACTCCAAGTCTAGTTTCCTTACCAACTGCACCATACTGCCTCCCTAATGAATTGACATTTGAAACATCAAAACATGAGCTCACAATTCTAATGAAGTACTGAATATTAAAATACGAGTTTACCCATGTATTTCCCAGAAAGGGAAAGGTATATATCTTTAAAAAATCATGAAAGCGTGTCATTTTTAAGAAAGTAGAATAATCTGCCTTTCCCAGAGTTAGGGCAAGTATTTGATTGCTTTTATGGCACTCCTGGCAATAATATTGTATGGAAATTTATGCTGCTCTGAAATGAGCTATCACTGAAAAAAATAGTTTTCAAGAAATGGGCATATACAATTACTTCTATGATGATTACCTCTTAATCACCACAGAGTTTGTCTCCTGGGACTGAGTATAATTTAAAATCTAGAATGCCAGTGGGACAATTATCACTACTTTATAGACTCAGGTTTGCAAAGCCATCACTCAGGAGTGATTTTGTACCTCCTAGACATTTTGCTGCATGTAAGCTTTGATCTCGCCAAGTTGAAGGTAGTGTGGGTGGATATTGTGGTGAACCAGGAGTCAGGAAGAAGTGAAGTTGAATCCCTGCCTCTGGCATGTGCTAGCTGGGTAACCATGCATAAGTATTTTTCTTTCTGAACATGTTTTCTCATCAGCAAAATGGTAATAATAAAATATGCAGCATCTTCACAAGATCGTTGCAAAGCTTAAATGAGATAATGTATGTGAAGTGCATTATAAATGTAGTCTGGGTTTTCAGTCTACGTAGAATGCTGTAGAGACTAGATTAAAGGAAACAAACACTTTTGGAGTTGACCTCTTTTGAACTTAGCTTCAGCTCAAGAAGAGACACAAATAACAGCAATTTTCTTCCTCCTTTGTTAAATATGATATACACATTCCATCTCCCCTCAAAAAAAATTGTTATGTAGCCTAAGTTCACGGTTTCATATACAAGCTTTTTTG